CCAAGTCTACAGCCCGATACTGAGAATTATCATAACTACTATAGCAAAGAATATTGGACAAGGTGCGTTCATCTTGATCGGCCTAACGCAAAGGCCAAGTTGCAAAAACGAGTTCAAACTAGATCAATTGGGCCCGAAACTCTACTCAAATACGAAAAATAAGTAGCATAGTCGATTGCTATAGCGAATATATGTTTGCTTCATCGAGAATACCACCAAAGAATATGATATGGCAAAAGATATGGCTTTCCTTGAAATTCACATCTGCCCTGTTACCCAAGGGCACTTGTGGTTAACATGTCAAGCTCATATTCTATACTGTCACGGTTCGACTCCCGCTGGGGGTGTTAATAAGACCGATGCGAGGTCGAAACTGCAGTCCACCATGGATGAGAACAACTTTTAGGAAAGCAAGGCAATGTGCAATTCAATGGAAGCGTCAGCTCTACTCATATAATTGTGGGAAAATTATACTACCAGTCCTTCATCAACTTAAACGAAATAGGTTGAATACATCTCATATTACTGATTTACTAGTAGTCTCGAAACTACTCAAATACGAAAAATAGGTTATGATAAGTCATGTCAATACATGTCAGTGCGACATGTTGATTTTTATGTTTTTGACAATTTGATTGACATATACTTGAGGCCAGATATAAATGCTGTCTATAGGATCAGAAGAGAGCCTAGTATGTGGGGAAATATGACAATAGTATAATGTAAGAGATTGTGAAATAACACAAAAATGTCTACCTTTTTCCCCTATTTCCACTCTCTGGGGGTGCAATGGTACCCTCAAATTATTGACCGATTCCGCTCCTTTAATGGTACTTCTTTCTCGCTCTTCCATGTTTTCGTGATAATTCAGAGAGTCGACCTGTCTGAGGTTGGGCTGTTGTCCTCTTCTCAAAATCGCCAGGTTGGTTTCATCCAGCCGATGGTCAGCAGACGTATGGAAAGACGGCAACGAGGCCATCAATATTCCATGACTATGGACGATCGCTGAGGAGGCCGTCAGAGGGGCCAAGTTAGCTGAATTCGGTGGTTGCGGAAGAAGATGAGGAGGAGGGGGAGGGG